TTATTAAACTTTGACTAGGTTGGCGCTCCCCTTTCGCCTATTCAACATGCAGTCAAGCATTACAATCGGGTCACGACGAATGGTGAACTACGAGATTGGCATAAAACGCATTCAACGATGCTTTTTTTGTGTGAGTGAGGTGAAATGATGAATGTTGTTTTACACTGAGACAATTTGAATGTGGTTGTAAAAAGAATGGTCATTCAAGAGGATCCTTTTTCTGCCTACATTTGTCTTCTCCCCTCCCCCTCCCCCCTCCGCTATTTGGAGGATCGAATCGCCCCCATACATCACCATCGCCTTTCTGCCTCAATGCCACGAGATGTAGCGGTGCAAATGTGTTTTGCTATTTTCATCTCCAGTGCCTCGGGTAAACCAACCACGATTAATCTCTCCAATCTCTGCATTTCCCACTGCATTGGCGGCAGAGGTATTGGCATCGGCGGGACCGCAAGTGCCAGCAAAAATAAAATAGATGGGTAAGGCGATAGTCATCACTGTTACTCCCTCGTTAGCCATCAAAATGTAGCCGGTGATGTGAAGAGGAACACCCACAAATTAATTAGTCAACAAAATTACGTTGAAGTTTGTCGGCTTGGAAACTGTAGTAGCGTTGAGGAGGAATGACTGATTACAGTGTTCAAGGAAGGTACAATGGGAGGAGCTTAAGTGTCCGCCCTCACTAATGAAATCTCGTCTTTGTTTAAGTGGAAGTTGTGATGGTCTTCCGACAGTCGGATATAATCGTCCTTTGTAGCAAGAAGACGGGATCTTTCTCTGCTCCCCACTTCCCTCCATTCAGTAAAACTTTCTTTCGTTCATCCTGTCTGCTCATCTTGAAGGATGTAGAGGTTGGCTAAATTAATTATTTTTTGAAGTTAAATTGTCTTATCAGTCGCTTTTGGTTTGGTGCTAGCAGATGCCATGCCCAGATAGACACTCGAAAAATTAGGCTTGAAGCTGTAGTTCTCCATTCCCTTTTTGGAAGGAAATGGAAGAGAACGGCAGTGTCAATGGCCGAACGTTAAACGACGGTTCATCATGGAAAAGGGCTTGATGAAGACCTGTGCATTTTCTTGCAGTGTTTTTAAGTGCCTAGACCGTGGGTTTCTCTTGACAAAGGGTTTTCTTTCAACCCTTGGCTCCTACAGTAACTTGTCTCTTTGGAATGGACCCAGAAAAGTGAGTTCACCAGTCCACTTGTCACCTGTCACAGAGTTGTTGTGCCCATGTAATTCTGAGCCGTTTCACAAGCCGCCTTGGTTTTACTGGAACTGCTCAACTTCATTTGAATGTGATTTCTGAAAATCTCTCAAAAAATGCCCTAAACGTCATTTGCTTTAGGATACATCAAGGTCAAAGCAAATGTACAAATTGGATGCGCATTAAGGGACCTACCTGCAGTCTTGGAGTCTAACAGAGGACAAATGGGGGTGAATTAAAGGGAGGGCAACAGAATTGTAGGCCCCTAATTAGAGGGCACTAGTTACCCCTTGCTTTTGATTTCACAGACATTCAAGTCTGCAAGTTTGGTCTTTGGATTGTGTTAGTAATTTGCCAACTATTCTGTGTGAAGTCGAGTTACTCTCTGTTCTCCTTCATCGTCTCTGGAGTCCCTCATTATAGCACCACGTGTCCAGACAAGTTAGCTGCCAACTTGTCCTGCTGAGAAGATGTGTTCAGGTCCAGAAAAAGTTACCACTCCTACCGGTCTAACTGCTCACTTAATTCAGCCATCAGTATGTTGACTGTGGTACTAAGCTGGAAAGATTTGCAGTGTCTCATCGATGGTGCTAGTCGGCGAATGGAGGTCTGAAGAAGTAACCACATCGAATCAGCTCCAAACTGCGGAACCTTTGGGTTTCAAACAGGTGGGGCTACAATGGTGCCTTGTTTGAGAGTTGTCTACGACATCTTGATGTAGATGTTTAGTAATTAACTGTATAATCTTTTGTTTTTGTCTTCTCGTTGATTAGAACAGGACTCAGAGGGAGAGAACCGAACGCCATCAAAGGGAAGACAACATGGTAAGGAGAAATTGTCGCACAACCGCATGTCATCGCCTTTTGTCAAATAATTGTAAAGGTATGCCAGCGTTCTTACGGCCAGTGATGGACATATTTGGCGCTCATCGCACCTTCCTCTACCTTAAACAACTTTCTAGTGCAAATGTTAACACGAGTCAGTAACTGTTTTCGAGTGTACTTTTACTTGATCTCATATACTGTGGTCGACTATTTTTGTTATCAGTAGTATATGCTATACTTTATCGCTTTGATTTATAATCACTTTGGTAGGGATTGAACATATTTAGCCTCCCAACCATAACCGAAGTTGGCATTTTTGCAATGATTTTTAGAAAAATCTGATATGTAACTACTTTTCACTTTATTGCCAGTCATCAATTTGTCAAACCTGTTGATTCCCTTGTTGGATGGACACGAATTGTTTTGACGTTTGAGAAGTTGTAATTTAATTTGAAGAGCTAAAAGCAGCTCCAGACCATCATTCTTTACAAAATATGTTTTGAAAATGGCTGAATGGAAGAGCGATCCATCAGGTGCTTCGGACTAACTCCATAAGCTTTTCTCTCTTCTTTCGACCACGAAATGTGCTCGAGATGGCTGCAGCCCTGGTATAGGATACGTTTATAACCTAAGCAAAAGCCTTGGAACGAGACCACGGTGTCAAAGGCGAGCAACTGGTGAGTAGAGGCTTTGTGAATCCTACTTTTAGCGTTTGGAACTTGCAGGCGCTTTTGCTGTAGGCCTTCAAGTAGTGAATATGTCCAATCTCAACGCAAAAAATAAATGACGGAGTGTAAATTCTCAGGCCTTAACCGGCTATTGGGTTAGTTTTTACTGCAACAGACCGAGCGAGGTTGATTTTGAAAGCTGGAGGAGGACTACGTTCTGTTGATTACACAAATGCTTTACTCCTCCCGGATTTAGGTTGTCATCCTGGCTTAATGACATTTCAGTCATTTTGGGGCTTTATTGTGCCTCCAGAGAGAGCCAGGATGTAGTCTAATGTCCCAAGGGCTTTATTTTGATGACTACATCGTTTAAATTACTTGATGCAGACTTTCCGCAGCCCAGAGACGCATTTCAAAGCTTCCAATGTTGCCCACTTTGAAAAGAAGACACGACTCTTGATTACACGTTTATTAACGAAGTGATTTATTTGCAGTAGCGCCAGATGTTGAAGGGTGCAGAGTCTACAAAACGGTGAACAGTCCGATCCATTCAAGTGAGCTTTCACATTAACCTAAAGCAGTAAAAAAGGCGTTTTTAGCACTCCTACAAAAGGGGAGGAGACTGCTGAACTAGTTTTACGGGTTCCTCTTCACTTATCGGGCAAGGAAGTAACTCGCTGTCATTGTGATGGTTAGGTTGTGTGTTGAGCTTTGCTGTAAACTCTACGGTTGCCATTTCCTTCCACTGGATAGCCTGACCTCTGGACTATGGCGCTTCTCTCTGTCGACAAAGTGCATTTTGTCTTGGAAGTTAAAGTTTTGGGGTGAATAGATGGGTATCTTTCTGTTAGCTTCTATCAAAAGGAATTACTCCCGATGACAGAGAGTCAGCAAAACTGTTCTTATTTGTCGAAAAGCTGTAGAGCATAAATGAAGATGACAAGCCTGATAGTAGGTTTAATCAGTTAACTCAGACTTTCTTGAACCGAGTTAAATGCCTGGACCGGGTTACAAATTAGACACGCAGACGATAATTTGTTTATTTTAGATGTACCTGAATTTTATGTAAGTTTATCAAGTGCAAGCGAGTAAACTTTTTGAGCAATTCTATCTTTCCAAGGTGCTCACAATCCGATTGACATCTACACAAGATATAGCTCTGGAACTTTAGCAGGGCATCCGTCCTTACGTGACCTAAGTTTTTTTTCATCCCCTTTTTCTGCAAAGACAAGCCCCTCTTCCGCACTAGTGGCGGCGGTGAGCGAAAAATCGATATTCGGTGAATCGCACCGAACTGCAACATTGCCAAAGCCATGCCTTGACGATGTCGAAGACCTTGCACACAGCCAATCTTGTGAAGGCAAAGAAATTCCTGCAACAAGAAATCTATCACCATCAATGATGTCCATAATTTCAGTTAACTATCACTTTATGATGCTGAGAAGGACTTGAGTCATCGGAAATGCTGCTTACATTGCAGCCATGGGTGTTTGAGATACGATTTGGATTTTCCACAGGCAGAGCAAATTGAGTGATATTTTTGTCAAAGTTGTCTGCGATGCACCGGTTTTGGGAGGTGTTGACAGAGGTTAGGAAAGCCTTAAAAGTCCTGAACACTTGGCTGACTAATTGCGGGTATACACACCTTTACAGGGGTCTTTCAGGAAGTGTGAGGCGTCCGAGGTAGTGCCTCGTAGCAGTTCAATTCCTTCTCCTCATAGGTAGGTAAAGTTTCATACTGCCACAGGATCGTGACCACAAAATGGTTCCAATGCTGCTTTTACTAAAACAGTAGTCGTCCATTCGCTCTGCGAGTGTGATTTGTCGAATGGCCTTTAACTTGTCTACTTAACAGTCCAAAGAAGTTGGATGCAACTTAATCACCGTTAAAGACTCAAAACTGGCTGGAAGGCAGTTAGGCGGGAAAAAACAGAAGGTCATGGCGATGTCAGATTCAGTGCTACTCTGGAGATAATTACCTAGCATTGACTTTGACAGTCGAACTTTACCTTAACTACTGACTCATATGGAGCGTCCATTTAGGTCGGTACAAAATCGAAATCAATTCTACCCTTCCACCTGCAGTGTCACTTTATCGTCAACTTTTACCGGGAGGAATTTCATTGTCTTCTTCTTCCCTCTTTGAATTCATCGACCATCATGTATCCAAAACTCCATCTTCTGCATCCTCCCCTTCCTTCGACTTGGGTCTTTTTACTCCCTCTTGTGTTTATCAAGAATAATACTATTGGTCAGGCTTTTCGTTTATCCCAAAGTGGCCCACAACGAGGTGAGAGATGGTCTCTTACTCCGTTTTTCCACCCAGAATTCTTCGTTCATCTTCAATGTAGACACAAGTCATTTGCTGACCTCGGTCTACCCTCTCCTTATGGCAGCCTTCCACACACTCCCTTGAATACACGTCAGAGAGGCAGAGCTGTGACCCTTGTAAGAGCTCTACGCCTGTTATTCATCAATTGATAAGAGTCATGGAAGACGATAAGTAAATAACCTATCAGCCTTGACACAAAGTCTTGCGCCACATGAGTCCAACTACTTTTAAGGGTTACAAAGGGAGTCTGAGTTTTTCATTTTGGTTGAAAAGAAACTCACCAAGACGGGCGCGGAAGTTGTAGCTCCTTTTGCCCAACCGCGGACGGAACCGTGCCCGCTTCTCAAACCTCTCCTCTTCGTCACTATCAACGTTATCATCCATCTCCTCCTTTAGAGCTCTCAGATGTACGAGTTTGAGGTAGTCACGCAGACTCAGCTCCTCAGGCATCTCGTCAATCTGTGCGGTTCTCTCGGCGCCACTAGGAGCTCCATGAGCGGCATTCGTGACGACGAGTAGTACCATGCAACAGAATACCAAGCGAAGTGAAATTAGCGACCCGCGATAGTAGTAACTCTAAAACAAAGCAATAAAAAAGGCATAATTAATCTACCTTTTGCCTTTAAATCAATCGGATAAAATCCCGTTTACCCATTTACCCCTTGTTTGGGGAGGGGGAGAAGGGGAGGAGGGGGACAACCCGCAAGCACGGTAAAGGCAGCGATGACTTGGGCAAGTCTACAGACAAAAGTATTAGCGCGGTCGGTGGGTGGGGGTATGTATAGTGGGACTTTTATTACTCCTACAATAACCAAATCCCCCCAAATAATTGAATAAGCGGAATCTAATTTCCTCCATAACACACTTAGGGAGGGCCGGGTGGGGACATAACTACACCGGCTAAATGCAGGTGGGTGCAGATGGGTCCCTAGGGTGGGTCTCGACTCCCCTGTGAAAACGAGACGGGCTTCGTATAAGGTCTTTATGTGTCCAACTATGATAAAGTTAACGAGCGCCAGTTACTACTTGAGACACTGGTTGCAACTACTCAGATATCAGCGACAGGATTGGGATTGAAGTTTAGCGAATTCCAAAAAAAAATTTCGGTTCGAGATGGCAAAACGGTTGCTTTTGGAGAGCAAGAAACTGACATAAAGAACCACTTTTGAAGTGATGTAAAGCTGAAACAGTCGCTGCCACAGAGCACCGTAGAGCATATCCTTGCCATTGAATGCACTCTTGCCCTACTGATAAGAAGTCGGTAATCCAATTCCTTACGCACCAAAACATTTTGGAATATGTGATACACAAATCACACACCCTCTTGTAGAGGTTCAAAAACATGATCAAAGCTACAGAGAACACACTTTAATGGGTATACTTTAAACGATAACTGGGGCATGACTATTGAATACGTACACAACTGCAAACCTTATATCAAAAAATAGCATTAAGGGTTTGGTAATGGGAACTTACGTTTTCCATGGTGTCAAATGTTATACGCAAAAGCGCCTCCCGATGGCCTCCCCTTATATGGTTCACCAGGTAAAGTGATTGGCAGCGCCAATCTGATTGGTCAATTCTAACCAATCAGACTTCTGGGACATTCAACACCCTTTGGGTCGAGGCTCGTGAGAGCCGGTGCGTTTCCATCCCTTGAGAGCGTTATTATTGAAACCATTTTTTCAGCAAAACAAAACATTAAACTTCTTTTTCAATCTAACTTAAATGCAGTGCAAGGGTGAATATTGCGGTCAGCGGGAGGTGCAGTGAGGAAGAGTTTTGACCACAAAAAGTCATTCTGCATAGATTGTGACCACTTCTACTTAGCTCTCAAGCATCGATTGGTTTTTTATCTCCCATCTACCTAATAGATCTATAAATAGGGAGTCTTGTGAGCCTGAACTGCATAGAGAACCAAACTTCATGATGAATTCCAAATGGACCTTAACTGGCCGTAATCGACAGGTGACACGCATCGTTGATCAGAAAAGGCAGCAACGTCTGTGTGGATTTATTCTTACAGAAAGCTTAACAAAGCATAGAAGGGAATGGGCATGATGGAGTTTATGCTTTAACACTTTTAATTACGGATTGACACGAAGTGTCACAACAATCATCACAATATCTCATTTTTTCGCACCAAAGTCGCTCTTTTATTGTGCGATTAACCATGAAACTGTTGCCTTTATACCCTGTTAATTCTTTTGCATTTTTTGTTAAGAGCAGTGCCTCAACACTGCGTGTAGTAAGTCAGAGGAACTACATTAACAGCCCTTTTCACGACCCTTGTCGGCCTTGCTTTAAGCATTGCTAACCTTCACCCAAATTTTGTACTTACTTTGGCAACTTCTATCCAGCTATGGAGGGCAAATAATGGTGGGTTGATAAGCTACTCCACCGGATGCCTCTGATAATTTTAGTTCACACAGACATGCAAAGTCAGAATTTTGAACCCAAAATGATGACCAAAGACGCGCTTTTCTGTGAGGAGAGATGAGAGGTGTGTTTCTAAGGCCACTCTACTTCGGCGGAATTGCTTGCACACACTCATCACAACCACGGCGGTGGCTTGCTGTACTACTGAGTGCAGCTGCCTGAATTCTGCAGACAAATTATTTGAGCCGGAAAATGGTTATCGGTGTGCAAGAGAACTCGCGGTGCACATGCATGGTTTGGAGGCTAAACCACTTCATAGAGGTAGGAAGGTGGAGTCCGTAGCATCGTGCAACGCTCCGCCCGTATCCAAAGACTTACCGCATCAAGTGTCGCAATGGGTAGCGGGTCGTCCAGCTTTACAAGCGGTAGTTGCTACTTCTACAACTATTGAGGTGGTAGAGAGACTAGCCATTGGTCTGCTTTGGGCTGCAGATCTACTGCCCTCTCTCCGCCACATCATGGCACCTCTACTTTCACGGCTAGTGACATCGACACTTCTGCTACACTGCATGACAGCCGTCACCGTTCAGTGCCACCTGCAGCAGCCGCCACCCTCGACAAGGGCAGAAAAGGTGCAGACATCGGTAATGGCGACTACTGAGCCCTCTTTCCCCCTCAAGACTAGCCTTCCTCACCAACGTTGTATTTTCAAACTCAACTTTTACTTTCGTTTCATTTTCTACACCAAAACTGCAATTCAACGTCAATTATTGTGCGACATTTCTGGGAGGGTTGTGATGAGTTATTCGTCTTTGGCGAAGAGACGTGGACCTGCTTTACGCCTTACTCTCGATAGCATCTTCTGCCTTACCTGTCAATGAAAAGGTAAGATTGTCTTTGCCCAAGAGACCAGTCGGGAAAGTAGAACACCTTGCCCATCACCTCTTGTTGATACTGATAAGGAGGATGGCGAAAGATGCACAACCTCTGGCTTGTGTGCCGTTCAAAACAACCAATAAGAATGGCATGACAAAGGTAGTTTAGGTCATAAAAAAATCGAGGCTGGCAGTGAATGATTTCAGTGCCCACAAGGTGGCTGCTGAAATGCGATGATTGTGCTGGTCGAGAAGGCGGACTTCGGACGCCAGTCCGAGTTGTTTGCTTGACTGGATCGCAATCCACGCAGAGGCATTCGATGCATTGCAGACACCATTACTGGCCCTTCTTGTAAGTAACAAAGGAACTGTCCAATCACCGGATATACTTTTCTCTTTTTTTACAAAAAAAAAAAAGATTTTTATAACTCACTTACTGGCAGGACTATGGTTAAAAGGACATGGAAGTGATTGATGTGCCAGTGTTTAGATTTTGCCATTGAGGAGACAAATAGACCGACAACATGGATGAATTCTCCAGCAAAAAATGATTTATTGCTTTGAATTCGTGTCCACTTTTACATCCTCTTAAAAGTTGTTACCTTGGTAATAGAAGGCTGGGAAAAAAGGGAGTTGGTAATTTTGTGGTTGGGAAGGTTGGGCTGTGCCAAATCTCCTACACCAGACGCCCAAATTGGAGGTTTTGGACGGGAACGGACTTTCGGTTGGTGTAAAATTGTAAGCTCAAACAAATGTTTGGTATTTTGTGGAAACAAAAAACAAAAATTTATCTCTCCTTTCCCACCCTCTCCCTTCTGTGGAGATTGGCAGTACCAACCAACCAGAAAAGTGTAATGAGGCTAGAAATGTTGAGTATTCTCCTTGTTTAGATTACACAAGCATCGAAGACACTGCATTTGAAATTTTACTGAGAAGAACGAGTCCTAGGGGTGACGATCTCCTCATGGCTTCGTGTTCTTCACCAAAGAACACTTTACCGCAGTGCTGTGCCATCTTTAGGCGACTCACAGAGATCCGTACGGCGGATACTTACGAAGGACTACCGCCTTCGAGTAACTGTCCCAATTTTGTGAAATGTTTAGGATGATTTGTCCAGTGGGAGTAAATTGAACCCCCTTCCCACTTCCCCTCCAACTTAATAAAGCCAAACGGGATACAGGAGTGAAGGAAAACCCACACAAAACCTCGTGTATACCAATCAGCTCCCTTCATCCTTAACAAAGATCCTCTAAGACAATTTTGCAGTGAAATATGAAGATGATTAGAGCTACTTTTCTACACAATTTCGGGTTGACTGCAGTCACTTTCATTTGCGCACAATTTCGACAAGGAAGGCTGGTCAAAAGACGCACCATTGTACCACTGGGCCATAGAGGAGGCAACAAAAATGCCGAAAAAGATGGTTGAACAAAGCTAAAGGTGAACGACCATGGAGTACTGGAATTGTCAGATTAAATAGCCGTTTAGATTTACCCAGCACTTAAAGCTCCTCGTTTGCATTTCTCCTGGACGGACTGATTGCCAGTAGGCAGCAGTAGGTCTTCAGTCGTTCTTTGAAGACGCCAATGATGACCTACACAAGTCAGTAGTTCAATTGTGAATATGTCGGGACTCCTGGAAAGCACAGGATGAAGTGATAGCTGTTAACTCAAAGCCGTGGAAAGACACTTGCATCGAATGCAACTTTCGGTATGTCCAAATCGAGTGACTTATCGGCTGGAAGCACGAGCTTGGCGTCGGTGTCACCAAACGTTCACTGAAGACAACACAAAGGAGTTTAAGAAGGAGGAATTTCAGTAATGAACAATGGTTTAGGCTCTTATTTGAGTAAAGGTCATTAAAAAAAAACACCCATAAATTGGTGTCTAGGCATGTCACCGCATTTCGAGCTAGACACACCAGACTGTTCTAACCGGAGGTCTGGACTGTGAAGCATCCAGGCCTTTGTACCTCCCACATCTTTCAGAATAATAAAATTTAATTTCTTTCCTTCCTAAACTTAATCTCCTTCCACCAAGATGCTTTGACCATGAGCTGTCAACACTCGAAGTGTGCACCGAATGGGACTGTGCAGGAGTCACTCAACCTGACGTGGTGCGGTTGTGCTGATCGTAGTGCAGTTAAAAACAAAACAAATAACTGCAGGACGAGAAAAAATTACTTGAATACTTAAGGGTCAATGGTGAGGGTCATTCTCGCCCTTAGGTGGACCTGAGTGGGCCGAAAATTTTGCCTTTATCGAAGGCTGTAGGCTTAGTATCACAGGGTCGAATTTCTTCCACCCCCTTTCCCCCTCCTCGTGCTCATTTCTTTCTCATAGTGGACTCCTAACTGCATGTGATGATTTGCTTGTTATGGAGAAGAAGGAAGGACAAGTAAAAGCTTGAACTACCATTCGTACCCTTTCCCCAAACTGCAGTTTTAACGACGTTTAACCGCAAGTTTTGTTACTTGCAGCTAATTGACTAGGTTCTTTGCTTAAATACTTTTAAAGGGATTACTGATCTGAGACACGTGGCGTGCAGGTGTGAAGGAAGGGTGATGAGTGCATTGTTTGGGATGCCAAATGCATTATTTGGACTGCTTACACTCGAGACAATAACAAAAGCCATCTCTTAATGCCAAATGTGTGTTAGTGCTTCAAGCACACGAAGCGGCTTAATTGCACAGGGGATGGGGAGGGGGAGGAGGTAGGCGGGACAGCGAGGTGGTAGTTTTGTAGCTTGTAAGCTGGATTCACTCTCCAAAATGACTCATTACTTACCAACTAACCCCCAGTTCCTCTTCTGAGTGCGAAAGGGGTAAAATATTTGTTTCATTCTCTTTTGGTGCTGGTCCAGGGGAGAAGTAAACACACGTAGGCATCGGAATCCCCGAAGGCACTTTGTGGAGGGTCGACATAAAGTTGTACATTAACAGTGTAATATTTGGCTTTGAACTGTCCACTATCTTAATTATACTTGCGCAGTACACGGTGATGCATTCATAGCCGCCTAGAATTGGAACTAACTTACATTCTCCAATCAACATTAGCAGTTTTTTGATGAGATTAGTAGATGTCGCAAAAATAAAGTCTCACTGCTACAGAAAGTCCTACTAAAGCACGCCAAACATTGTTTGAGCTCTTTGATTATGCTCATACGTGATGTTCGTTGGCCGAAATGTCCAAAGCATTGCCTATCAACTTTGAGATGTTTAAATAAACATGCGTGCAGCTTTATAAAAGCAGATAAAGTGGAAATTACCATCTTTCCAGAAGACCAGCACGCATGTGTATGTGTGGCTGGTTGTTGATGCCTGTCAAAGTTTAATTAAAGTGCATGCATGGGACAACTTTTCTGTCGACCGATTAAGGATCCTTCAGAGGGAGTTAGCGTTGTATCATTGACTTTCCTTGCGCACCTATTCCTAAACTTAAATAAACTGATGGTATGCTTAAAGTCTTCTCTCAAGAGCAATCTCTTTAAGCTGAAAGCTTTGAAATGTGACCATTTGAGGCTTAACGAGGATGCATTCTAAACCCGGTTAACAGGATTTTTTATCAAAAATTTTTAATTTTAACCTAAGTCAACCATTTTCAGTGTTTTAGACACTGCCTCAGTCTTGTGATATTTGGCACACATTGAAGTTTAATTTCAGACCCCAGGATAGCATGAACGATGGACACACTAACCAAATTTATAAAAGCACAAAACGCTAAAACTCAATTTTTAAACATTCCAATTCCTAGCTTCAGAAGCCAAAAAAATTATTATTGTTGCAACATAAATTTTAGGGTTCTTAAAAAGCCAGCGGCCTACTTAGTGGCCTTTAATTTGATGGCCTTTGGCAATGCAACGTTACCGCCCCTGACGAAGTTAGCGGTGTTTAGGGAACAGGCTACTCGATTGCTGGTTTAGCTCACTTAAATGACAACACTTACTGGCTTTATTTAAAACAATTTCTTCCAAACTGCCCTAATTAATGTTATTCAGTTACTCGGTTATAAACTTGGACTAATCAAAGGAAGTGCCTTTTATTAATGTTTTATAAGCTCAAGCACTTCCCTACTTATTACTAAATAGTGGACTTTATAGTATGCGAGGGTGCTTCCGTGGACACAAATCACAGAGTTATGACATCACTTTTACCTCTTGAGCGCCTGTTACTGTGTGCTGAACCGATTACGAGGATAATGACTTAAACTTCATGACACGGTAAACGCCCCGTGGTATTTAGGGCTAAAGTAGTTTGGAAATGGATAAAGCAGCCGTAATGAAGAGCTCAATGTAATACATACCAGTTTGTTTAAGTGCACTTTTTATAAGTGAGAGGCGGAAACCAATTGGGAGCGCGAATTACGTGATTGAAACCGACGAGGAGTCCCCCTCCACCTGATATCTACTCGCCTCATCTGCATCCCATTCCCCATCCCTCCTAATAACAATGCCTAATAAATCGTCTACAACCAACGGTCTCTTGAAGTCTGAGGATCAAGGACCAGAGGGTAGATAGGCAGCCCTTACACTCAATAACTCCAACTGGTACACCTTCAGTGTAATTACTTCAGTTTCCCCAAACATCTCAGCAAACCCTGAATTTCCTTGAACAAAAAGTCAAAATAGTTGGTAGCAAAATAAAGCTCTCTTTGAAAGTACCGAAGAGAGGAAGGAATTGGGCCATATGTACAAAGTCACCGCAATTGCTGATCCATTCAAACCAAATACGAAAAGAACAATGTCTCTCACTCAGTAGGAGAGTTAAACTCCACCACAACCAAGGTAATGTCATCCCGGTAGAGTCGCGCGACTCCAGGAGGAAGGGAAAGGAGAAGAGAGGCGAGTCTGGAGTCCTCCTTTGTCGAATTACGGTGACTTAGCGACCCCAGGCCAGGGGCCAAAGAGAGCGCGGCTCGTATGAGACGCGTCGCTGGACACTGTTCAGGGTTAAGACGGCTCAGTAGGGATGCTGCTACTTCGGGACTTAGAGTGTCCCACAGTCCGTCTGTTGCCAAGACTAGGTACTTATCTGAGGGCTTTAACTAGACGATAAAAAAAAGTACTCACATTATTAAACCATAAAAATACAAAGACTAGGTTTACAGCCTCTCCCTACGTTTAAAGCACACCAACTTTAGATTTATATGCTCCCAGGAATAGCCTTAGTAATACGACAGATGATTCACTTAAAGGACCACACACCATAAAAGTTGTGACTTCTGGTTTAGCCGTGAGATAAGGAGGGGAGGTGTAAGGGCTAGGGAATGCCTCCAAACCCGCCCATGAGCCTGCAGTCATCTTCTCAGCCGAATCAACAGCGGCACCAAAGTAATCAGCCATCTCCTGCAGGCGTTCAACTGTCCACTTGTAGCGCACATCCCCAAAGGCTCGCGTAGGCGCCAATTCACCCAAGAGGCGACCACCATTGCGTATTAAATCCTCCCCCTTATCATCTGGGTGCTCGAGCATCAGACGCCGCAGCTCGTCGACATTTGTGCTACCATTGTGCGGCGTGGTCAGGCGCTTTGGCTTCAATTCACCTGTAGCAGAACATAAATAATGCTTTGTTTCTTCGTTAAATCTCCAAAAAGGAGAAGGCGGATATTCGAGCGTCACCCACCAGAATCATCAACGGTGGAAAAGAGAACAGCCGAGCAGTCACCAACATTAGCAATTTGCAATTCAACGCAACCGTCCTTGTCACCTTTGGTGGTCCAGTCTAGCAGGCCGAAAACTCCAACTGCACCGCTTTGTGCTACGCGAAGCAAGTCCATCGAAAGTGTAGCTGGCGTTGTTGTTGAGGCAAAGGGATTCTCCGTTGCCTCTGACAACGATGAAATGCTGCCTAGTCCGAGAGAGCATAGCTCGCTGTCCAGACGCATTAATGCCTCCTCCCCTACAACAGGAAAAAAAGAAGGTAAGCATAATGTCGGAGATGATAGCGACTTTACCGAACACAGAAAAATATAGCAACTTGTTGAGTCTTTTGTGAATACAAGGTACGCTCATTGTCTTAAGCGGGACCCATAAGTGGTAGAGCCAAATTTTACCCACATTTTTTTTTAAATTGTTAAATATCAGAAAGACGTTTCTGTTTCGTTATCAAAAGGGCCATTGAAAAGGCTGACTACAAAGTGCACAGAACAATAGATTCGGTTCAAAAAAATGGTGAGCACAAAGAAGATTAATCAAGGCAAATAAACACGATGCATCGTGTAAAATTTCCCCTTCTACCACCAAGTTTTGCTAAAGAATTGCAAGTTGTGAACCGAACGAAGCAAGAGATTGCCTTAACTACTGACTGGGTGAATTCAGTACAATCATATAACACCTTAGAATTTTGATCCGAAGGCGCCATTATGAAGCTTGCGGAACCCCTAATCAGGATGCCAACTTGGACAACTGCCATTATTCCTTGCACGATTATTGAAATGAGTAGCAATGGGAGAGTGAAAAAAGACACCCAGGTATGCAACAGTCCTTGAAGCCTTCGACAATTCAACTATTCAACTAAACATCATGGTAATAATATTTCTACTTAAGTGAAATAAGTAACAATAATCGCATCACCGTTGTCCGACATTTAATAAACGAATATAAAATAATTCCTTAAGTAAAAACGGTGAAGTGGACGATTGACTTTGTTTTTTTCCGAGTCCACGCTTCACAGTTAAATTCCATTTATTTAGAGAAAAACGCACACGTCGTCAGATTGCACATAAGTGGGTGTAATGTGCAGGCGAGAAAAACTATACAAATTAGATTTATGTGATGGAGCACAAATAAATTCGGTTTTTAGTAACCTCACGCAAAAAAAACACCACTGACGCCATAAAGTGGCGTTCCTTCTTAGATATGAAGTTGTTGAAGGAGAGACAACGGAGGAATTGGAGCTGTACTTTATGCGTTCTAAAGTTCTTTTTAAAAATGCAAGAAGCTACATCAGAATGCGAAATTTGTTCAGCAGCAAAACCCCATTGTATGCCCTCCGCCGAGAGGGCAACAATACATAAACAAACAAACGGAGGCTGCAGGCCAACGCGGATGCAACGTGAAGGTGCATGGCACCGGGGAAAGAATGTACAACGATTGGGGTTCGTCTCTAAAGCCTTTAAATTAAGGGCTTTGGGAGAGGAGGAGACCAAAGGTCTACAAAGGCAGTATTAAGCTGCCACGGCGATTCGACCATCCTTAGAGAGTGCAGAACCCAAGGAGGAGAAGCTAATGGTACCTTAACACTCAAATATTGCATGGGGTTCAAGTCATCCTCATTCGTGCGCTAACAACGACCGGTTCAAAGGAGGCCACTGAAATTGACTGATTCAAGAACAACTTCCGGGGCGCTTTTAAATACGTCTGGAGTAGTAATTTTCGCGAGCCAAATTTGCATACAATTGTCATTCACATTTTGATGAGCGGCCATGCAGAATCAGGAGTACACTGTCGCAGTCAAGAAAGGCACCATTCACTTGAGAAGCCATAAAACAAGAAGAGGAGTACTTTTAGAGCCACCTCTTTTCTGCTGGACGGAAGTCGTTTGATTGTAAGTCCCAGATTACTTGACGCTACTTGATAGATGGGAGGAGTGTATCAAACAGGTGTAATGCGCCTGAAAGGGGAATTCCAAGAGGGAGGAGAGCAGGTTTAGTGACTCCACTTATGTGCAAAGATTTTAAATGAGGCAATGCTAACTGACTGCGCCAAACTGTGCGTCGTAAACAGAGCGATTGCTCATGAAGTAAAGGAAATTGCATTTTATGGTCTTAGAATGATATGAATAGAACATAGCTGTGGTAAGTCATGAATTACAGACTCTTGTGTCATTTCCAACAGTAATGCGGGGGCGATCTCCATCGCCTGCCTCCTCTCCCCCACACAATCATGGCTTTTCGCATTGTAATGTGCAATCGGAGGAGTCTCAACGCCTCAAACCTCAGACTAGACTCATCAAACTTAAATGAAAAACAAGACGTTACACAACTGACCACTTCACTGCGCATCTAGGCGAACAACTCTAGCTTGACCCCCTTCAACGAAAAGGGCACAAGCTTGTCTCCGCCTTAGAAAGAGGCAGCAGCGGCAACAACAACAACAACAACGTCAGCAGTGCTTTAAAATAACTTTGGACAAAA